CTTTCCCTTTTCTGGTCTGACACACCTAAATCTTGGTTTTCCCCTCCCAACTCCACAACTTTATTACCATGCCCTTTGGCTTCAGTAGTCTCATTTTAATTATGTCTCATTTATCCAACACATGTTCCTGAAGTACTGCTTTTCCACTCTAACCTTTCTGATGCTGTCCTCTCCCATTCTTCATTTAGCACTCAAAAATAGAGAATTTTTAATTTCAAGTTCCAAGATCCCTTTTTGATTTTTCTGGTGATTTCCAACACTCTCAAGAGGAGGTCAGCTAATCATCTTTGCCATTGTTAGGAACAGCTTCTTCTCCCAGTCAAAACCAATCCTACTTATCTTTAGTTAATGGAAAGCAAGAGCAATAAAATATACATCTATCACTGTGCTGTCCTTGCCAGTATGAAATCACTAGTCTAGCTGATGGGTTGAGTTGTCTCTGCAGCAGAGGAAGTTCCTCTTGCTGACCAATTTACAGGAAACTGCAAGAATGGACTGTAAATAAAACCAGCATGAGAAGAGCACAGCAATAGGCAAGGTAGAAAAATTAACAAAACAACAAAAAAATTAGAATAGCGCAAAACCCATTTTCCTTCAGCTGCAGCAACTGGTCAGCTCAGTAGTCAAGTTCTACTCAGAGTAACATAAGACTTCATACATTATATATTTCCATAAAAGCCTACAGTAGAGTAAGGCATTAAAGAAGGCCATGTTGTGTTAAAGTTTTACTGACTTTAATGAGCTTGAATCAGGAGTAGATTATTTTGAGTTTTATTATTTTATTAATTCTACTAAACTAGTTTAGTCCCAGTTTTCTAAATCACAGTGGAAAGACATCCACTATATTGAGAGATGATATATCTGTCAACTGTGTACTCCAAAACTCCAGACTGTTAAAGACAAAGTGTAAATTACTCGCCTGAGTCCTTCATCTGCTAGGTAAGGCAGCCCTGTGAAAAAATTATTAACTATGCATCAGAAGTACTTCTGCTAATATACTAATTAAAAAAATCAGCAACAAAGGGGAGAAATTAAGCCAGAACTTCCAAAAATCCTCTTTTAATGCCAAAAGAATTCCTGTTCTTTGAATTTCAACTATCATTCCCTCATTCATCTTGCTTAGGAAGAGCTGAAGAAGCCTTAATAATATTTTTACTTATTTACTTACATATATTTTTGAAAGTAGCTGAAGCCTTGATATTCAATCTAAACCTGAGAAACACTTCAGGTCAAAAAGCTTCAGAGTTTCTATTTAGACCCCAGTGCTCTTGAGCTCCAGACATCTATGGACATATTGTTGGCTTGCAACTTTGAAAAAGCCAGCCAGCACTGGTCTGCAATAAATAAGCCATACTTCAGAGAAAGAACATATCAATTTTAGAACAAAGTCATAACTTTTATTGTTTTTTTTTTTACCAAACAGCTTGGCACAAGTCCTAGAAGATGATAATACTGACTTTGATTTTGGGATATGGTTAATGTCATATATTGCTCAAAGATCTCCAGACCAAAGTACAGCCACAAAGTATTTGCAGTATATGCATAGCTTGTAAAAAATAAATTATGCTGTGCAGCTGGAAAAGAAGAACCTTCTGCAAACTCTCAATATAAGAACATTTAACATATTCTCTTATATCAGCTAGCCTTGAAAAAGAACCTAGACTTCATACTGATGTAAATAAAGACTGAATTAAATCAGTACAGCTATCCTAGCACAATTTTCTATGGTTGCAATTTTATTATAAGTAGGTTTTCAAGGGAAGTTTAAGGGATTTCTACTGAATCAAAAGGCCCCTCAAAACTGTATAGGAGCATTCACCCAGCAAGTTAACTGGGTGTCAAGTCTAGGCCAGTCAGACCATACCAGTAACACTCGGTGTAAGTAATACTTAAAATGGAAGGCAAGTTCTTAAACATTTTTGCTGCTTATCACGTTTCTTTAAAATAAATTCAAAGACACATTACCAAGGCAAGACTTCCATTCTTCTTTACTATTCAAGCCAGATGAACAAGTTCTTTGTTCCTTTTAACTGTTACCTATATGCAAGGTCCTTGTAAAAAAGACTTGAAATGCAGCTATGGTTATGATTAACTGATATCTTTCATCAGTGCTTGCAGAACATTTTAAACTAGACCATAGTTTAAAAAAAAATAAAAATCACGTAACTGAGCAGAAGTACAAACATGATTGCCAAAGTCCTATTCCTGCAGACAGCTGCAAAGGGAGTTTCCCCAAATACATGTAGACATTGAAAGAGGGAGTTTCCGCAAATTATGTATTTCCTTGGCAGAAGTTTTTGATTCTAAGATATTACAGTTGAAACAATTTTAGTCCTAGGCTGGTTTGTGATGAACTTCACACAATTCTGTCACTAACGTACTCATAATTGATAATTTAGGAAGTACTGTTGGACTACAAAATAATTTCTGCTTACATGTCAAAACACCTTAAAGCATTTAAGCTGGCAGACCACTGAACTTTAGTAAAAGCAATGCCTGAATAAAAGCTTTTAGAAACTTACAAGAGGGATTCAAACATCTGTTACTGATTATGAAGCATATCCGATAGGTACATTTAACCGGCAGACGTCTTGCCATATAACGTTAAGCCTGTTAGGATTTTTTTTCTATTTTCTTAGAATTTTAATTAAATCTATTTAAAGAACATCAAGCATCCAACAGGAAAAGAGAAAAAAAGATTAAAAAACCCACCTTAGAGGCCTACACTTACATTCAGCATTTTCTACCATTTCAGATACTAATGCATTTAGGCAAGACATACAACATCCAGCAGTTCATTGTATACTTGCGCTTGTATGAGACTAACAAAACTTAGGTCCAAGACTACCACTGCCAGTTAAAAAGAATATTTCATGAGAGTGTATATGCAAGTCAACAGAAAAATTACCGAATATATGCAATTTTAAAACATTCCTGGAGCAGGATATTAAAAACAACAAAACCATAAAGCTTATGGAGAACATCCTTTTGAATGTCTATCAGCAAAAAACTGCAATGACTAAATTTATAAACTCTACTGCTGACCCCAATACCAAGCTACTAATTGAATACTAAAGCAATTCAGCAAGTCTTGGTTTAGAGGAAACATTTGGTCATGTCATCTGTGAGCCCCTCAATCTTGCGTGTCCCTCTTCTAGTGGACTGCAGTAACCTTCTATTTAAGGAAATATACCTCTGCAGGCCAGCACCAAAGAGGAAGCTGAAATTCTGTCAGACCCTGGGAAAACAAAACAAGACAAACATTTCCTACTTTTATTTTGCTTGTAAAGAGAGTATGCGATACAATTTAAAGACAAAGTGTAACTGCAAAGACTTGCTCTACACTTCACAGCTGTACAACACAGTAGATGGTGCTGGCTTTTAAGCAGTGATGCAGTGAAGCATCTCAAAGTTTGCTCTTCTCAAACTTGGAAACTCTGACTAGGAACCAGAATCTCAAAATAAGCTAATAACCACACAAGTGAATTTTATAGAATCAGAAGGCCCAACTGGGCTCTGTTGCTAATGGGCAGGCAGTCCCCACCTCCAACAGCTTTGAAGCTCCTTGTGCTCAAAACCTCATGTAAGCAAGTAGGTGTAGCAGAAACAAGGTTTCTTTATTCTGATTCCAGTGACTGTTCCCTTTTAAATTGCCATATGAATTTCTCTAAAGGATGTTGTAAGGCATAAGTATTTTGCCACTCCCACCTGCAGCCAGCCAAAACACAAAATCAAAGGACTGAAACAGATAAGAGCACGGATTACAATAACCAGCATTTAAGGCTACCATACATTTCATCACTTAAAAAAAAAAAAAAAAAGTAGTATTTTTCTAATGCAATGGAAAGAAGAATCTCTGCAAGTTCATGCTTACTTTCTACAAAAGCTGAATTTAATTATAACCACCAGCTCCCATGTAGTTGGGATTTTAGGTCAAGATTTTAAAATTAAAACAAATGTACACTGCACGGCTGCACCAGAAAGACCGCAGTAAACAAACAATTTTAGTTTAGAGGACATAAGAGGGAACAGTAATTTCATCTCACATAAAAAAAAAAAAAGTATCATCACATGCAATGGGCTTCTTCTACAAGACAATTTGGACAATGCCATTTTATATTATCACTTCTTTTATGGAAGCCACTACTTGCTTCAGAAGTATGACCAAAAGGAAGGAAAATTATTCCCCCTTAAACCTTGTTTAAATGAACTCCAACAGTAGGGATTAGCCCAACATTGACCTACATCTCCAAAGCTATAGAGCTGCATCCAAAAGTGAGTTCACACAGGTCTATTTTCAAGTACAGAAGACATTCACATGCAATACTTCATAAGACATGAACAACAAAATTCTTATTTTACAAAACAGATCAATTTGCTTAACCAAATATATTACTGTCATAGTGCCAGCAAAGTTTGCAGAAAGATTTCACAAGAGGTACAAAAAACCCCATAACATACTCTTCTTTTTTAAATTAAGATGTAAGAACTTACTCCAGACAAAGTTTGAATCTATCAGAAGCCTGGAAGTTTTATACTTACACTCTACAGTCCAGTTAGATTATTTCGCTCCCTCCCATTGCAATCTGAAGATGCTTCTTGGCATCATATTAACCTATCCTATCTTAGACAACTTGCCTCTTTCCAAATCTTTTCTTAAACATCTAATGCCACCGTCTATTCTTTGAATTCTTATGGTCACATCAAAGCTGGTCCGAAGAACACTTGGTTGACTCTTGGCCTCATTGACTTTGCACCTCCAAAATTTACTTTTATTTATTACACACACCATAAAGAAATATATATAAAAGTTGTATCTACACAGTTCTTAAAGAAATGGTATATGTTATAGACTCCAGCAACCCTACTAATCTTCTTAGCAAGATAAACTACAAGGAATACATTGCCTTTGTTCACCATTCTTCTTAAAAGGTTTTTTTTCAAAAAAAGCTCTTTCAAAAACAGTGCAGCCAGACTCCTTACAGCCATTAACTGGTTATGATATAAGGGCACTTTTCGCTATGACCTTCAAAAGCTTATGTTTTGTGCACTGCCTAGAAATAACAGTCATTGTCTCCAAGAAGTCCATACAGCATTCTTTCATTTCCAAGCTTTGATACTCCATAAAATTCAAGCTTACTCTTACATATGGAGCATATAATATTTCCAGCAGAAGCTTTTACAGTATTTACAGATTATCTTCCTGCTACACACATCCTAGATATTCTTAAGGCACTCTGAATACTAGTCACTTGTACACAATGAGGAGCTGAAGCTGGATTTCACTTGCATAAAGGAAATTAAGGAATTTGGGTCAATGGGATTAGTTCTATTTCAACCTAAGTAATCAAAACTGACATCTTCGTATAGTAAGTGGAACATCAGTTCACCTAGCCCCAAGCCAAATGACAGATCATATGTACCACAGATGCATTGATTCAGCTCTGTGTGTTACTGGCACCCCAAAAATAAAAGGTCTACAGAAGCTGAACTTTAAGGAAGAAAGTGGCATTTCTGCATACTTTTAAATATTTAATGGTATTTGTGACATTCTATATAGCATTTGAAACCATACAGACTGATACACTTAGCAACCTCTAAAAAATGGCACTCATTAACTATCTCAAAGCGTAGACATGCATTACAGACACATTTATACCTACAGCCATAAAAGAACACTCAGCTTTTGAAGAGTGTTAGAAAGTGTTTGAAGTACATTAGACTCTGTCCAAAAAGCCTCTCTCTCCTCCAGAAAATATAAATCTTTCATGCATTCTAGTCATTTAATGTTAACTAGTATGCCACTATTTTAATGGGTTAAAATGGAGTTAATTTTCAATTTCTGCCATGTACATCTCCAGCAGATCAAAATCTAACTATTCCAATGCTTCAAACTAAAATTATCTCATTACATACTTGAAAAAAAAAAACTACAGAATTTTATAAAATACTTCTAAATTTCTCATCATTATGTGTTAGCAAAGGCTGATA